GAAGTAACAGGAGCTACGTAAAACCGTCCGACTCAGCGGTTTGACTCAGAAAACTCAACGACGGCTCGGCTACTTCCTTTGAAACGTTATTACAGATATTTATAAAGGTGAGAAAAGAAGCCGCACGAATACAAATACGCACCTGCAGACTTTTTGACCAATCAGAATCAAGTATTTCTAACACAACACATGCTCTATTCAGGTCAAGATTAGATTATTGTTATGTCAGCATCTCCCAATCATCTCGAAGTCGCCTTCAGCTTGTCCAAAATACTGCTGCCCGTCTTTCAACCAGCACTAAGGTCGCTTTCACTCCAGAGCTGTTTGGTCCGCTTTAAACGTTTGTTTCCTCGGATAGTCCGCTTCCTTTGGGCAGGTGTGAAAGCTCATCTGGTGCCGACCAAACAAGCGAACTCTGGTCCGCCTGAAAACGTGGGTCTCGGTTAGCTTGCAAGTGAACCCTGGTTCGGTTCTAATGCGGTGTGAAAGCGCACCGGACCAAAGACAGGACAAAATGTACATAATGACACTATAAGCAGTGCATCTTGGGTAGAGGAAGCACGGCATTGCTATGGCAACAAGTGACCGCTAGCATTAGCAGTTGCTAGCTAACTTAGCTCAATTGTCTGAACAACAAAAACCCATAAATTCACAATTTGGCATATTTAAATAAAATAAAATCACAACTACCAACAGTCACAGTCCTCAAACTCTGAGCTCATATGTCGTCACATGTTCGATCGTCAAAGTTAGAAGAATAACAGGATCAATCCCTGACAAGCTAGGATAGCATCATAGGAACAGTTGCGTTCGCTAACGTTGTAGCATTCCATAAAATAATGTGACGAAGCACGATACAAGACGGCTAGTCCACCCCTGTTTGTGATCCGTGAGGTTACATACCCCTCCTACTTTGTCCAATCGACAAGCCCCCCTTTCAACCACGTGATGCTGCTCGGAAAGTTCGGTGAGCTTTAGAAATCACAGTGTGAAAGCAGAACCGAAACAAGTGATAAATGCGACAATGTTTTCAGCTCCCCAATCGAACCGAGTCCGCTCGGTCAGGAGTGAAAGCGACCCAAAAAAACATTTGCATTTTAAACTTTGAATTTAATATGTGTATTCAATTGCGAGTTTTCTTGCTTATAGACGAGTCGGCGGGGAAATTAGTCGAAATTCCCATCCCTAATTTTAACCTCTTCCTCCTCGTCCTTCTGTTGTTTTTCTGTGCTGAAAGACTGAAGATCAGCCTCTGAGGTACATATGTGAACATGTTTTGGATACCTTATGTGTTCACACACACACACACACACACACACACACACACACACACACACACAGAGAGCACATGCAACATCTGTCTGTCTCCCTATAGGCATCCAGCTACCCAACCAGACATGCCCGATGAAATATGCATGACACGCTCACATGTGATACGTCAAAAAAAAAAAACACCGCCATCCACCGACTGTGGCTCGTCCTGCAGGAGCTCAGCTGTTCATTCATTAAACATGGCCGCTCCATGAACCTCGTACTGTTTGGACCCGTACCTGCTGCTGTCTCTGGCCTGCCTGTGCCGCACGCCGCTCTGATATGATATGGAAAGAAGACGGTTTGGAGTCGGTTTACCAAAAACAGAGTTTTTAAAGTGGCTCTTTAAAGACCCGAACGTGGCGGCTAAACTAACATCTGTGCGGTTAAGAGGGTCAGAGGTCAAACAGCATTCAGAAGTCCGTCATTAAAGTGTGTTCAGCTGTCATTTTTGATCGCATGTCTGCTTCTGCTACAGCTGGTGGTGATGTGATCTCTTACAGATCATTACCAGGAGAAAAAAAAGGAAGGAAGGAAAAGGAGGAAAAGAAGCAGGAGGGGGAAAAAGGAAGGACATGGGAGGAAGGAAACAGGAGTGAAAGGAAAAGATAAAGGAAGAAAGGGAAGGAAGGAAGCATCGAAGGGAATACAGAAGGAAATAAAAAAGGAGAAAAGGTAGGATATGAGGAGAAAAGAAAGGACTGAACGGAGGAGAAAAGGTAGGAAAGAAGGAAAAAAGGAGAGGGGGAGAAAGGCAGGATAGAAGGAAATAAGGGAGGAAAGAAAGGAGGAGGGAAAAAAGGAAGGACAGAGGAAACAGGGGAGAAAAGAAATAAGGAGTGAAAGGAAGAGATACAAGGAGAAAGGAAGGAAGAAAGAAAAGACATGAAAGAAGAAAGGGAATGTAGAAGGGAGTAAGGAAGGAGAAAAAGAAGGAGAAAAAGTATGATATGAGGAGAAAAGGAAGGATGCAGGAAATAAGGGAGGATGTATATCTTCCTCTCCCTCCTCCCCCTCCTGCTCCTCCTTCTCTCCTTCCTGCTCCTTTTCCTCTTTCTTCTTCCTCTCCCTCCTCCTCCTCTTCCTCTTTCTCCAGCTCCTCTTCCTCTTTCTCCCCCGTTCTCCTCCTCACCCTCTCTCCTCCTCCTCTCCCTCTCCTTCCTGCTCCTCTTTCTCCCCCTCCTCCTCACCCTCTCTCCTCCTCCTCTCCCTCTCCCTCCTGCTCCTCTTTCTCTCCCTCCTCCTCACCCTCCCTCCTCCTCCTCTCCCTCTCCCTCCTGCTCCTCTTCCTCTTTCCTCTCCCTCCTCCTCTTCCTCTCTTTCTCCCCCCCCCTCCTCACCCTCTCTCCTCCTCCTCCTCTCCCTCCTGCTCCTCTTCCTCTCTCTGAGGAAGGCTGATGAAGACGAGCACACACACTCTGAGCTCTGACAGGATTTACCGCCGGCCTCATTTGTTTGCCGCTCATGTTCACATCAGCTGGTGGGGGAATCGTTCGACTCAGAGCTTCAGCGCCTGAGCGCCTCGCTCTCCGCACAAACATCTCTTCCTCTTCTTTCTCAGGATAATTACAGTTTTGTCAGAAGATGTCACTTCTCCTCTCAGACGAGCTAACCCTCCAATTTAATGAAGCGAGCCGCGAGTCAGACAGGTAATAAGTGTGTCAGGACTCCAGACGTTCATCCTTAAGCTACTTAGCAGCGTATTTATCATCCCGTTTTTTTGATATTCAGAGAGAAAAAATGACCGTTTGGTGTCAAATATTTGACAGAAAAATATCAGCCGCAGAAATACTTCAGCCCAACCCAGACAGGTGTTACATTTGGCTTACAACTCCGAGCTGCAAGCGTTGCATCATGGTACGAATGTTATGATTAATACAAGTGGGACAGAATAAGAAAGTCTTCATGTTATTTTTTTTCTCTCTATCTAAAAGTGGAGATCTACCTCCAGGAAAATGACTTTCTGCTGTGTGTGTGATAGATTCTGCATACTTCTATTGTCAGTCTGATAAAGATCTATTATGAATACATCTTTGATTAGATTCATCTTTGTTAATAATCTGCAGCAGTTCACATTAAAATAAAGTCATTTGATTTATGATGGTTTAAGATCTGCAATTATAAGAGTTAAAATTCAATAAAAACCACAAAACTCTGTGACAGAAACAGAAACAGAATCAGAATCGTTTGCATGTCACTGAAAACCCGAATAAAGGTGTAAAAAAAAAAAACATATGAAAAACTTTTGAATTTGATGCAACAGGTTAAAAAAAGAAGTCAGGACATGTTTACCTTTGAGTTGCATCAGCTCCTCTTTTAATAAAACTCTGATGTTCGTGTTTGTGAGATGAAGAGTTGCTGCAGGTGAAAAACGTCGTCCCCGTCTTCTTACCTGTTAGATGGTTTCAGCTGCTCCTCGGTTCAGGGTCTCCTTTGTTGTTTCATTGTGGATGTTGATGGTTTGAGGTCCCGTCACAGAAATATGAGGCTCGTCTCAGAAGACCCGGCTGCAGAGACGAATAAGAGAGGGGGGTATTAGATTTTTTAAAGGAAGGGTACACTTATTGAAACATGTATTTTATCTGCTTCAGGCTTAATGGCAGCTCTGTGACCACTCGTACAGTGTTGAAATGTTATTTTCTCTCAGTAACAAGAAGCATTTCATCTTTAAATATATAAAACAAACAAAAACAGGAGTGTCTGTAGTGCTAAATTCATTTATTATCAATAAAACAGAGGCATTCAGAGAGCAGGGCCACACACAAACCTGCCAACATTTGGGTTATAAAATCTGGGGGACTTCTGCGCCCACAGGATAGTTTTGGGGTTACCTTGTATGGTGGATATGAGCTAATTATGAGAGTATTTGTATAGTCAGTCGGAAAACGGTAGATTGCCTTCTCCAGGTCCTGCCTCAAGTGGAGGTAAAGTTAAAGTATCAATCCAGAGTCTGTGAGGCTCAGCAGAAACACAGGTCTATCTCCGTTTGTCTGGAAACTTTGGACAAATATCGTGATCGGATTCCTGAATGAAGGTAATGTAATGTTACCGTGAAGATGCGGTAATCTACTGTCATTCACTCACGTTTCCAGGCAGGAGGGTCTCGCTGCTCCTGCTGCTCCCTCCGCTAGCATGAATGTTGACTCCGGTGTGACGGTCGGATTCGGTGCTTCACTTCCTAACTGGCTAAACCCGTAGGGTCCGGACCGGCAGGCGGAGCAAACACACAAGCAAACGGCGCTCACCGGCGCCGCCATCGGAGAAGCGCTCGCGGGATTACCGATATCTCTCGCGAGACTGGAGATCTCACGCGAGATCCCACGAGCTCTCGCGTGTTTCCCCGGGAGTCATAGAATGAGATCCGCCGATCGGTGTATATAAACACCTACATCCCACAACCCTGGCGTCTCCTATTATCAAGTTAAGAACAGTTCAAGGTATTGACTTCATTTTATTTTGAAAATTAACCGGATATTTTACTTTGTATCTGCATAAAACTTCCGCTGCTGCTTCTGCTGCGCATCACTGGATTGTTGCGCCATGCTGCGGCGTCCGGCAAAAATAGAGGAAAATTCTGTGGAATCTCACACATTGATTATACCACTTACAGATTTGACCCGCCGGCTGGTCCGCAGTGGAGCCGAGCAGTTCCGGCTCCTGTGGTTTTAGCCAGTTAGGAAGTGAAGCACCGAAGCCAACCGTTACACCGGAGTCAACATTCATGCTAGCGGAGGGAGCAGCAGGAGCAGCGAGACCCTCCTGCCTGGAAACGTGAGTGATAACGTCTTGAATGACAGTAGATTACCGAGCTGCTGTACCTCCTCCTCGAGCTGTGTGGCGCTGTCGCTGCTTCCTGCTTCCTTTTTGACGAAGAAAAAAACTCTTACATCTATTTTTTTCAATGCTTACCGGTGAGTCCGGCTTCCGCCGCTATGAATATTTGAACTTTAGCTCGGTAAACGGACCAACCCCCTTTACCTGTAATTGGCTAATATGATGCCTTCGATTGATTGGATTGATTGATATGTCAAGATAGATGGGATTAACTGAAGATGACTACTCTGACGGAAAAAACAAACCCCAAATCAAATTAATAGAAAATGTTGCTTTTAGTCCAGGGTGGGCATCTGAAGGTATCTCTGGTGCGAAAGGTTTGTGCATCTGCAACATGTGATTTGTAGTTGTGTAAAGTAAATCTGTATGTGTATTAGTAAATGTGAAATCACACACTCTATGAGTTGTGTACTGGTAGATGTACTATGACAAAATTTGAATATGTGCAGATCTTCATGTGAACTTATTCAAAAAAAAAAAAAAGGTAAATTTATGTACAATAGGCTTTGACAAAATTAGTTGTGTTGTTTTGAAAAACAAATAAAAGTCGATAATTACAACACCCGGAATCTTCCCTACGAGTCACAGATTGTGTTTCCAACAGCTACAAAATAATTGAGTGAGATTGACGGCTTTTTCAACCAATCATAGGTGATGGCATCTCGTGTCACAAAAACAATTGTGTTTTTAAAAAAGGTTTCCTGGTGAAAAGAGAGAAAGTAAGGAAGGAAGGAGGTGAAAAAAGAGGGAAGAAAAAGAAACTGAAAAAAATGGAAAAGGGGGAGGAATGAAAGAAGGATGGAGGAAAGGAAAAAAGGGCAGAAGAAAGGAAGGAAAGAAAGTTTGGAAGGAAGGAATGATGGAAGGAAGAAGGAAATGAGAACAGAGGAAAGGAAGGGCACAGAGGTTTACGGGTGTTTTATGTCTTAAAGAAAGTTAAACTTTTCTTGATTCAGACAGAGAACAGTCGATTTTTCTCAAACTGGTTTATTAATCTGGTCGTGAAGTTGTGAATTTATGAGCTGAAACTAAAAACTAAATATTCTCTTTTTTTTTCATTTATTGGTTTTTCATAAAAAGCTCTCAGGCTGGACGCCGTGTCGTGTCAGCAGATGTGATTAATCTCCTGTTTACTGTTGCTAACCCTCTTTGATTGTCTCACATTCACCATCCATAAATCAGCTTTTATCGCTCGTTTGTACTTCCTGATCTCTGACGCTTAATTAACAAGTGTTAAAAGTCTCAAACGAAAACATTCGTGAACATTCGCCTCCCAGCATCAGCGCGGCGTTCGTCACTCCGTGCCAGCTCGCTCCTCTGGCCTGTCCGCACATTCATCCATCATGTTATCATGTGCCCACCCTGGATAAGGCCGCAGCTTTTGGCCAAAGCTGATCCTGTCATCGCCGCAGGATTGGGCTCCAAGATAACCGCCGTGTGGTCCAGCTGTTCCCAGCACTCAGCAGATCCACAATGGTTCGCTTGTGCTGGGAGCTCGGAGTGGGAGAGTTGTTGCTCGCTACATAAGCCCTTCCTCGAGACCAGGGATTGCGTCAGCGGTGCACAGCTGTGCAGCCCAGAGCCGCAGGACTGTGTGAGTTAAAACAAGGAGAGACGATCCCAGGTGTGTGTTCGCGGTCGCACAAACTCTGATAATCACCTGCAGACGGGGACGAAGCTCCTGTCGAGTCGCTGCACAGAGTTTTGTGCGGTCGTCAGCCCAAACATTTCTCAAACATGTTGTACAATATTTTCATCATCACCCTTGTAGTATTGGCAGCATGACGAAGCGATTCGTCGCTCCGGCCAATGAAATGTCAGCAGCACATACGTCACCGGTCATTGTTGCTCACATGGAATGTACGGCTTCAAAGAGTTGGAGAGAAATTGCTGCTGCCCTCAAACAACCTGGGGAACCGAATGTCAGCTGCCCGACGGATCAATAACTCCATGTTTTACTGCGTTTGTGAGAGCGGTAGGGACGTTACTGAGGAGTCTGTACGTTACTGCGTCATGGAAAGTGTTAAAAATACGTGTGAATACTTCAAATATTCAATAAAATCAGAGGTTAAAAAGAAAAGTCTCCTGACATGTTTTTCATGAAGAATAGATCTGACTGTAAAATCCACTCGCTTCGTGAGACCAGCAGCTTTTAAAGGCATGAACCTCGTTTCTATGGCGATCATGGTCCTATAGCGCGATCTCCACAAAGTAAAGAGAAAAAAAGAACGGGAAAAATCCGTTCACCTTAGCAGCTGCAGGGCTGCAGAAACATTGACCAATGGGAGCCATCCGTCCCAGACAGCTTCTATTGGTCAATCTCCTGCTCCTCCTCTCCATCCAATCACCTCGATGTATTTGACACACCCCTCTCCCGTAGTCGAGACTTGTCCCTTCCCACTCTCTCGACCCTCCTCGGAGTTCTGAGCGGCTAAAAGTAGCGTAGCAGCTTAGCTGACGGAGCTGAGATGGAGAAGGACGGAAAAAAAAACACCTCTGATTGCCCTACCGCCAAAACATCCTTTTTTATCTGGACATGTTCTCCTTTTTGAGGGCTGTCTGGCCTTGTCCAGCTTTGTCTGGGGAAGTTTATAAAATCCTTCAAATGTCCGCAGTTTTGTACATTTTGGACGTACTGTTAGAATAGAATAGAATAGAATAGAATATTCCTTTATTGATCCCCCATGGGGGAAATTTTTTTGTCACAGCAGCATCATAGACAATGAGTGCAAAAATGCAGTTATAAAAATAAGGATCCTAATATTAAGAACTTAAATAAATGTAATAATTAAGAAAAAATTTAGAAAAGGGAAAAAGGGAAAAGAAAAAAATAAAACTTTCTACATATATATAATAAAATATACATATATATAGTATATATAAATAAAACTTTCTCTAGAAGCGCATAAAAGACACTCGATTCAACCCGAAAAACTCTCAAAATTAACTCAGTGCGACTCCATGACTCCGTGTCCTCTTTTTGGGGATTCAGAATATGGTCACCCTGATTTTATCCTTATGAGTTTGATGCAAATTCATTCTCTGCAAATTTAAGAATGAATGTGTCGAAGTTTTGCATAAGTTGTGCAGAGACCAAAAGTATGTCATGGATAGAGGCGGTTATATTATGTGAACTGAGAGTGATTATGAAGTGCAAATAACACAAGTGCATGTTCGTGATTTGCAACAGCTTCAGTCTCTGCAGACGTGATCAGGAATGTGTCAAACTCCATCATGTCTGCAGGTTACCGCTCGCTGCATCGACTCTATAAGACAGACAGGCCGCTAAATTGAGTGTCAAGCAGGACAATTTGATTAGCAAACCAAGGAGATACCAACAGCTGATTTCACACATTTCTAAATAGGAAGAGCAGAGTCACACACACTAACACACACACACACACACGTCTCTGTTAGCAGCAATTTGACGTCAACTTTCTGATTTCATACCCTCCAATCTAGCAGCAGAAACGGGAGTCTGCCTGTGGACACGGCGCCGAGATGAAATGGACAGATATTCCTGAGTGGATAACAAACCAACGGCATGTCTAATCAAACCTTCGCTGGATGTAAAAAAGGAAAAAAAAACTCACACACCGTGACATTTGAACAAATGGGTTAATTAGTTTTTAAAAAGCCGGCACTTAAACGCGTTTGTTTCTTTGTGAGTACGAGTCGTAAAGTTCCCGCAGAGGGCTGCAGGGGCCAAAAGATTCACTCTAAATGTAAATAAGTGGTGTTTTAAACCGCTGTTAGCCACACGCTTGTTAGAGCGGGAGATAAACCGAGTAGCCTGTTCTCCAGGGGGTCAAGTCCCTAATTAACCCAAAATCGCTTTGTCATTTTCTCATTCGATTACGCCGACGAATTCAGCGCCGCACCGCCGAGAGATAAATACAAGTTTAAGTCTCTTTCTTTTCGCCTCATTGCAGATGGATGGAGGATAGGTGAGATAAAGCTGCTCTTTATTTAGGGAGTTTAAAATAAAAATAAAGATGCTGATCAGATATGAAACATTTGGAAATCTACTTTATCTAATGAGTGAATCTCTGCAGCGTTTTTTTTTTTTAAAGCTCCAGGAAAGGAGGGAAAGACGGGACGGAGGCAGACTGAAGGTCAGAGCCGCAGCGCTGGAAGGAAGTGGAGATAGGTTTGTGTGGTAGATGAGGAAGTATATGATTCAAATCTACGATAGCGCAGCCGCGGGGAGGTTTTTCGCCTTAACCTGCTGAGCCACCATTCCTCCAGCTGAGGGGAAACAATCTAAATTGCATCAGAGAAGCGGTGGCACCATCGTAGTAATAACTGCGATCAGCTGGAGCGATAAGAAAAATGGGAGAGATTGATAAGGTGGAGTAGATTATGCAATGTCCTGCTACTCTTTATGACTCAGATAAGTGTGCGTGTGTTTAACCTTCACTCAGCTGGAGGAGGAAGAGCGAGGAAGACGGAGGGACGGAGATTGGAGATAAAATGTAGGATAAGGAGAGGGAGGACCAGTTCAGTAAAACACAGTCCTCCCACTACATCCATTAAAATTAACTCTTTTCTTAATAATTAATTAACTTTTAATGTCAACGTCTTCTCTGAACAAACAGTCGGGTTATTTGCGAACAATCTGACTGCTAGAACCCAGACTGTTCGATCCACACTGGGGTTCTACAAGGTTCAGTTCTGGGCCCACCTCTATTTACTGTTTACATGAACGTTTCAGACAGGATGTGCCAAATGCTGCTTTAAACCCTCACACTGACGACACTCATTTATGTCCTTCAGCACGTGTTTGATTTAGTATAAGAGCGAGTGTTGTAGTAAAGACCGTACCAGCCGAGACCAAGAGATCGAGATTATAAAGTATCAAGACCAAGACCAAGACCATGAGTCTTTAGATTGAAGAAAAATCACAATAAAACTCAACAAACGACCAGTATCTTTCTTTTTAATCAAGTCTGATTTCACAAAAATTTCAGATTGGACGTTTTCCTGGTGTAGCTATCAAACGGTTAATTTACTTGTCTTCATGCGTCGTTCATGAGTTGTGTTTTCACTTGCATGTCCGTTTACAGATAAAGTCCATATGGTTTTCGAAACTGAACCTAATAATAGTTGAGTTCGCTGACATTTTTTACGGCGAGTTTCCCGGGAGCGCAGCGTCTTTCGTCATCATCAGCTCTGTGCAGAGGGAAAGTCATTCCAGGTGTGTGACACTAAAGCAGCTGCTTTATTCTTCTTTTTTTGTTCGGTCTTGATCAAAAATCCGAACACCGAGACGAGACTGAGTAGAAATGCCTTTGACTCTGAGACCAGACCAGGACGGTGAAAACGGTCTCATTGGGGAAAGCCGTTAGCAAAGAAGAGTGTGAGATTGAGTTAGTGTCTCATCTGGGTTTTTTAATCAATGAAAGTCTTTTAAGGAGCATATTCAGTTTGTTACGAAAGGATTTGACAAATTAGTTAATGACTTTAACCAACCAAAACCCTTTGGTTAAGTTGTTTTGGGGGCTAACATAGGGTGACCATATTCTGATTCCTCAAAAAGGGGACACTAATACACAGGGTGGAGTTGCACATATTAAATTTTGAGAGTTTTTCGGGTTGGTCGACTGTTTTTACAGGCTTCTAACTCGGTTAGTCCACGCTAAACAAACTCAAATTTTTCATACAAAACCCGGACATTTAAAGGATTTTATAAACTCCCCTGGACGAGGCCGGACAGCCCCCAAAAAGAGGACAAATGGTCACCATAGGCTAACATAATCAACAGAGGGTTTTAAGCCCACAAGACCAGCTGGTCAAAGGTGTTTCAAGTCTCTCAGTGATTCGGATCCGCCCAGGTTTGACCGTCACTCCTCTCATTTGCTCGGAAACCACAGTTTAGCAGAATAAAAACTCGACAGTCCGCTTCCTACACGAGGTCCAGTCTGTATGAGAGGGAGGACAGAGGAGAAGGCACTCCACTGGGACAAGGAGTCCAGCCAGAGAGAAAAGAAAGTAGATGTTAAGGATGGGGTTCCTCAGGGGTCTAACCTCGGTCCTCTGTTCTTTTCACCTTGAATCACTTTTTTTTTAAATTGATTTGTTGCAGGAAATAGATATAGTCATTTATTTATTCATTGTAAATGTGTCGGTATAATCGTAGGCTGTGATCATGACTCTACCCAGAAGAAACATGTTTCGTTGCAGACAGATGAGCCCTCAGGTGCTGGTCCCCCCTGCCCTCAGGTGGATGTGCTTTAACATCTGTTTAAATAAGGAGATCCACCATGAGAGATGGGGATTTCACGCTCAGCTGCACTAAATCCTTTTAAAGATGCTGCAGCTCCGGCTCACTTCCCAACAGAGATAACACGGCTTCGGAATAAGCGGCGAGGACGTCTCTGCGCTCTGACAGGACAAACGCAGAGCAGAGCCGGCGCTTCATTAGACAGCAGAACCCCCGAGGGCTCGGATCCGAGGAAAGACACTTAACCACATGTGGAGTGAATCTGTGGAGGGGGGGATGACGAGGAATACAGAGGAGAGGACGGGTATCTGGTTCAAGTCTTGAAAGGGGTCTTCTCGAACTCCTCTAAACAAGCGGATTTTTAAGAGGAGGACTCCGGGGTCAGGGAGGCCAAATCCATCTGATTGTGAGGTTTTCTGCTCCTTCACTCTTTGTTTCTCCGAGCGCTCTAATTTATTCACAAGCAAACAAAGAAAGAAATTAACTGTACTCGACACAAACCGTAGCCTTCAGAGTCAAAACCGAACAATTCAATTTAGCGTCCCTCTCTAACGGCCTGCGGTAAAATGAGCCGCGTGTTTACAGACGGAAACGTCTGAATCTGCTGACGTGAAGTTAAAACTTGGAGAACACCTTGATGTTTAAAGTGAGTGAATGTATGTGCAGTAAACACAACGACGACGCAACGATGCTGTGAGCTGGAGGAAGTGTGGCTGTTCGGGTTATTGTGTCCTTTGGAGCTCTGCTGAATCAACAACAACCAGTCGCTTTGTTCTGTGCCGCCCTCTGGGTTTCTCCGTGTTTAAGGATCACCGGGAACCTTTATTGGACTGTCTTTGTGGTGGAAAGCAAACAGACAAACACAAGACTCTTCAGGTGTAACAGTACCCTCATATATTTTTATTTTATATGCGTGAAATTGTATTCTATAGGGTTAAAACATGCTGCAAATGCAAAAGTCCAAAAAGCAATGCAAATGAAAAAGCCAGGACTAATGCGTGGAGAGCCGCAAATATCAAAATTAACGATACCTTCATGTGTTCTCCGACAAATGTGTTTCATAGAGCAGCACATGCACATGGTGTAGTGTGTTGGAAAACGAAGCCAAAACAAAAGTTCTGCAGTTCCTCAAGTGTCCACAAGGGGGTGGCTCAAGATGCCTAAAATAAACGTCTTTATCGCTCAGTAATTCAACAAAAAAAAAAAAAACTTGCATTTTTAAAGGAGTTTTTTATTTAATATAACATAACTAACAATAGAATAACCTTAGAAGTGGCTTTAATGTAGCAATAACCCTCTAGAATCTGAGCTGTATCCATAGCAACGGTCTGCTATCAAGAATTAACAGAACATTACAGCTTCAGACTTCTTTCTCAGATTATTGTGTTTTGAGCGTATTCATCCTGTCACTGGAGTTACAGGCACTAAGAACTACTGGATAGAAAATGACAAAACAAAAAAGATTGAGGTACTGCAGTTCCTCAACTGTCCACAAGGGGATGGCTCAAGACGCCTAAAAAAAACGTTTTTATCGCTCGGTGATTCAACAAAAAAAAAACAACTCAAATTTTTAAAGAAGTTTATTATTTAACATAACATAACTAATGATAGTATAACCTGTGGTGTGGCTGAGCTGGCTTACAAAAGGTTCACAATGTAGCATTAGCCCTCTGGAATCTGAGCTGTATCCATAGCAACGGTCTGCTATCAAGAAATAACAGAACATTGCGGCTTCAGACTTCTTTCTCAGATTATTCATGTGTTTTGAGCGTATTCATCCTGTCACTGGAGTTACAGGCACTAAGAACTACTGGATAGAAAATGACAAAACAAAAAAAAATTAAGTATTGCAGTTCCTCAAGTGTCCACAAGGGGGCTAGCTCAAGATGCCCGAAATAATATTTTACCCAACATAACTAACAATAGAATCACCTGAGGAGTGTCTTTAATGAAGCAATAACCCTCTAGAATCTGAGCTGTATCCATAGCAACGGTCTTCTATCAAGAAATAACCTAACACTACGGTTAAATGCTGCGTCAGTAATACATTTTTTGTAATAAATTTTGACTAGCGACTTCTTTCTCATATTATTTGTGTGTTTTGATCATATTCACCCTTTACTGCAGTAACAGGCGTATAGAAAATGTCAATATAGAGACACGTCACGTTTCATTTTAGTCTGTTTTAGAACCGATCAAGTCCTGGTCCTGCCTGTGAAACATACCTTATAATGCAGCGAGCACAGTGAGGTAATCTGACTAAAAATACCCGTCAGATAAGTCAGGATACAAGATAAGCCTCCTGGCCAAGTTGGCCTTTTGTTGCATGTAAGGATAATTGTGATTGAGTGGCTGTTTCCCTCCCTGCGCCACTTTTCCCAGCTCCACCTGCCAAGTCCCGTCTATTTACAGACATTTTTAGCTTGTCGTGACAAGGGGATGAAAAAGATCACCGTTATCTCCCCCTACCTGTCCTCTTGCAGCCCAGTTTTTCCCTCTCTGTCCCTCTTACCCTTTTTTTCTGTCCTCTTCTCCTCAGATTAACTTTCTCCACAATGTTTAATCAGTTTTTGCTCTTTTTAAATCTGAAAATATCACTTTTTCTTTTCATCTTTTCCTCCTCCTCCTCCTCCTCTCTCTCGGTCGTCTCTCTTCCCTCTTCTTTGTTCAAGGTCAGCGGCTCCTCGGTGGGATTTCCCATCAGGCTCATGGAGCGAGGCTGAAAGCAGGAGGCTGGAGGCTGATTGGCTCTCCCTGACCTCAGCTGTAACCTTCTCAGCTGCTCGCTTCTCCTTCACTCTCCTTCCTCCCCCTCCTCACCTGGACTGTTTTCACTTACACAGAGTCCTGCGCACATTTACCTGCATGTCATCATCGCCTCACCTCAAATTAAATCACAACATCTCATTATTTTGAATATTTTAACTGTTTTTATCCTTAAATTTAGGGTTTTCTTCATTCCAAACAAACTCGAGAAAGTTTGAAACCTGATTCAAAAGACGCGTTTACACTGACCGGCCATTTAGCCTCAGGTGCTGACTGACCAGGTGACCCGAGGAGGAAGACCACACAACATCACAGCCGAGGAGGGCCAGAAATGTGGCCGCCGGGCCTCCAGCTTCCCCTCCCTCCTCTGTAAACAGAAATTTGTCTCTGTATCCAGAGTAAACAGCTTCTCTTTCACCGCTGCACTGATGCCAAATTTCAGCTCTTAGCTTTCACCGCCGCACTCGGAGCTCGGAGAGTTTAAAAAGTGACAATAATCGACAAAATCGTTCAAGGATTTTCATAAACGAGAGAAACTGCAAACGCTTAAACCCGCCTGCAGCGCACGTTTCAGCCAGGATCGACTAAAGAGTATTGCATCACTGTTTATTTTAACAGCGTTGGCAAAAAGAGACGTATAATTATTCAGACGAGCCACACACAGAGAAGCTGTCATTCTGGTCTGTGGCAATTTGGCAAACACGCCTCAGTTCAAACACACAATTATCCTCAAAAATAAACAGCAGGGAGAAAAATGTAAAAGCACCAAACGGTGACAGCTCTATTCAACAGTCAGAGGACTTTTTAAAATGAAGCGAGTGAAGGTGGTTTATCTCTCATATCCTCGTATCTCATGAGGTGAAGAGAAGTCAAAAGTCTCCTCCACAACAGCTACTCACCCGCAATTTCCTCTCATTTTCAACTGTGCGTGATTGCAGAGGAGTTAAAAGTGAAAGTGAGATAATGAGAGAGGCCGCGCAGGTGACTTTAGAAGAAACTCGAGGTGGTGCCGAGGCCGCCGCAGCTTTAATTACACCAACACCACATCCATGAGGGTGAACAGGTGGTTGGTGCTTTTCTGTCTCTGAGTGGAGACAAGAACAAATTTGATCCACTTTCCCTCAAATCTGCGTGTCTGCTGCAGACACATGAAAGTAAAATCAGAGTCATGTCTTTATTTTACAGGCAACACTCTGCTCTTCACGGAGTAACTTTTCAGTTTTGTTTCTTTTAATTAAACAAATTCGCCTTTTTTGGGGGGGAGAAGAAAGACGCTTCATGAACAAAGCTGAGCTCAGCAAGTAAAAACATCATCCACAAAATGTTTGCCGAGCTTTTTTCCACCTGCTCGCTCTGTGCAAATGAAATTACATCATCCTATTCATGAGTGAAGACTGTGTGCGCTGTCTCTTTGCACCAGTGTAATCCACAAACATGTGCACTAATAACATCATGCAGTCTTGTAAATAGTAAGCTTGTGTAATAAACTTAACTTCCAACTTAAAAAAATAAGATCAGACATTTTCAGCCCCCGCCTAATTCGCGCGAATGAATTTCATGTTAAGTTAATGTAAAGACGCGATTTTACGCTCCTACTACTTTGGCAGCACAAATGACAATACCAGTTAGATACCAGTGAATAACTGTCTATTTTCATACGTCACCTGGCAACCTCCGTGCTGATTGATTATCGCAACACGAATTTGTGCTCAAGATGAGACATTTTCAGCCCTCGCCTAATTCGCGTCATTCGCGCGAATGAATTACATGTTAAGTCAATGTAAAGACGCGATTATACGCTCCTTCTGCTCTGGCGGCGCAAATGACTATACCAGTTAGATACCAGTGAACAACCGTCCGTTTTCATACATCACCTGGCAACCTTCGTGCTGAGTGGTTATCTTGACACGAATTTCCGCTTACAATTAGATATTTTCAGCTCCTGCCTAATTCGCGTCATTCGCGCGAATGATTTACATGTTAAGTTATTGTAAAGACGCGATTATATGCTCCTACTACTCTGGCGGCGCAAATGACTATACCAGTTAGATACCAGTGAACAACCGTCCGGTTTCATACGTCACCCAGCAACCTTCATGCTAGTTAAGACATTTTCAGCTCCCCCCCAATTCGCGCTGCCCAAGTATTAGAAGCAGTTTATTGCGTCTTTGCATTGACTTAACGTGATTCATTTGTGCGATTGATTTTACTCGCGCTTGGCATGTGGAGACAATTAGAAATGATCTATAAACAAAATTAGTGCGAGGCATTTGTTGATATAAATCATGTCTAGATTGTTACTTTGGTGCAATTATACTTGTGTAAGTGGGGTAATAGTCTAATATATTTCAGGTTTGCAGTGTTCTTCCTGACAGCAGCGCTCTCACACGGTTTCTGTCGGAGGAGGGGGAATGGTGATGATGATGCCAGGGATAAAGAGTGGTATTGTTGGCAGCAGGACAGCAGCAGACAGCTGGCTGACAGTGGCACTCTGAGATGTTAACCTGCCCAAACACTTCCCCTCACCTTAGGCTTTGCT